GACTCTCAAGAATAGTTGGAGAATTAGAAAATGTCAGAGTATCTCTCATATCATTAGTATTGTACTAAAGAACAAGGATACCACTAGTACAGATATTTTAAGATAGAAATGCCAAGAGGAATAATTTATCAAGATATTATAACTTGAGAAAACCATTATAAACATCCAACTCTTTTCATTCCAATTTCTTTGTTTACTAAAGAAATTTTTTTAAACAAAAGATGCATCCCTTTATTTTATTCCTTAATTATTAATAACAGGCAAGGAAGAGAGAGAAAGCCTGAAATTGGTGGTGGGGTGGAGGAAACAGAGAAGATCTCCAGCTTCCCAGGGCCCTGGCAACGGCTGCTCCTGGCAGCCATATGTCCCACCAGGCAGTAGAATCACATGGTCTTCTTTGGGAAAGGCCCAGTTGTAGTTGCAGAGATTGTCAAGGGTGTCTTCAGTCTTCTCCCTTAAGTTATCCTGAGTAACAAACATTGTCACATCTTCCTGCAACTGTAGCACTTCTCTCTCCTTCTCTTGGACAAAAGCTTCCATTTCCTGTGCCTTCTGCATCTCCTCCAGCTCCTGGAGCCACTTCTGCTGCTGCTCTTGCTGCTGAAGCCGTGGGATCCTCAGCTCTGAAGCTGAGCATTCTCCTCTTGGTTCCAGGCCATGAGCTGCTTGTGTTCTTCAGAGTCCTTTACAGCTTTCAGTCCCCAAACTTCTTTTGATGTGATTTTCTCCAAACCTCTTCCAGGAACGCAAGCCTGAGTTTTCGAACAGTCTCTCTGTGACTCTTATAACTCTCCATTAACATGTATATCTTGGCAGGGTCTATGGGGATTGGGAATTGCAATCCCTCAATCTTGGACTTGGCGGGTCATGATGGCTCTTACGGCACTTGTGAGTGGCAGCAGTGGTGGTAAAGAAGGAGCTGGGACCTGAGGCCTGACCAAGTGGCCCAAAGTGCCGAGCATGGCTGTAATCGTACCTCTAAAGAACTTTCTTGAGTGACCCTACCTATCAGGAAAGTTGAAAGTGTTCTGTGCAGATAATGTTTTCAAACCAGTCTTCCATTTTTTATGTCCGTATTTCATTTGAAGTATAATTAATCATTTATAAATTGACTTCATGATACTAATCAGTCTTGTGTATGTTTGAGTATCATAAGCTTATTTTCCCAGTACTTGATTACCTCTGGGTGAACTAAACATCCCGAATCTATAGTATCTACCCCGTATTGTATTCTTTGAGGCCTCAGCTAAAACTGCTTTATTTAATGGCAATTCTTTTTTTAAAAAATTTTTATTTTTTTTTATTTATTTTGATTTATCAACAATCACTTCCATAAGCTTTTGAGTTTTAAATTTTTTCCCCCTTCCATTCTACCTCCGTCCCCAAGATGGTGTGCTATCTGATATAGGCTATACATATACATTCCTTTTAAATTTTCACATTAGTCATGTTGTAAGGAAGAATTAGAGCCAATAGAAGGAACCACAAGAAAGGGGAAACAAAACAAAACAGAAGGGAAAAAAAAGCAAATACTATGCTTCAGTCTGCATTCAAACTCCATAGTTCTTTCTTTGGATGTGGATAGCATTTTCTATCATGAGACTTTTGGAGATGTCTTAGATCCTTGCATTGCTGAGAAGGGCTAAGTCTATCAAAATTAGTCATCTCACAAGGTGGCTGTTACTGTGTACAACATTCTCCTGTTTCTGCTCACTTTACTCAGCATCAGTCCATACAAGTCTTTCCAGGTTTTCCTGAAATCTGCCTGCTTATCATTTCCTATAGCATAATAGTATTCCATTACATTCTTATACTGCAACTTATTCAGCCATTCCCCAATTGATGGGCGTCCTTTCAATTTCCAATTCTTTACCACCACAAAAAGTGCTGCTATAAACATTTTTGTGCACATGGGTCCTTTACCCATTTTTATGATCTCTTTGGAATACAGTCCTAGAAGTGGTGTTGCTGGGTTAAAGCATATGCACATTTTTATAGCCATTTGGGCATAGTTCCAGATTGCTCTCCAGAATGGTTGGATCATTTCAAAACTCCACCAACCATGCCTTAGTGTTCCAATTTTCCCACATCTTCTCCAATATTTATCATTTTCCGTTTTATTATGTTCGCCAATGTGGTAGCCACTCTGGTACCTCAGAGTTATTTTGATTTGCATTTCTCTAACCAATAGTGATTTAGAGCATTTAATGCAATTAAACATTTATGGAAGCCTAAAGGAATGGCCGTTTACTTGACATGTACTGGGAAACTTCTGTGTGCCGAGCACTATGTATGTGTTGGTTTGAGAATTACAAAAATTGTAATAAGCATGATTCCTGACTTAAGAGAACATATTAGTTTTCATTTAATCATTCTAGGGGGGTGGAACCAAGATGGCAGAGTAAAAGCAGTGACTTGCTTGAGCTCTCCTCCAAACTACTCCAGATACCTGTAAAAAATGTCTCTAAACAAATTCTAAAGCAGCAGAACCCACAAAAAGACAGAGTGAAACAAATTTCCAGCCTAAGACAACCTGGATGGTTGATTGGAAAGGTCTATCATGCCAGGCTGGGAGAAGAATGCAGTTCAGCGTGGGCCCCACAGGCAAAACAGATCTCAGGGAACCTTGAGCAGGCCTCAGAGGACTGAATCATGGGCAGCTGTGGTGGTTTCCAGATTTTTCGACCCACAAACTCTGCCAAAGACAACTTAGAAGGTCAGTAGGAAAAGTCTGTAACTGTGGTGAGAGAGAAGCTCGATCCCAGCACCAGTCCTGGAGCAGCCCCAGGATGGTGGCTGCTACCAGAGCTCTTGTCCCCCAGACTGAGGGGGAATCCAGTGGCTGATCAGAGGAGGATTGCAGGGATCTTTCTGCTGGTGCTGAGGCAGGATTCTCTTGCTTTGCCCTTGCTTGGATTTGGGGCAAGGAGGGGCACTGGCATGGTGGAGCTTGTAGTGGCGTGCAGAGAGAATCCTCCTCATAGTTCCAAGGCAGAAAAGAGCGCTAGTAGTAGGCTGTCATAGACCAGAGCACAGGCCAGGAAAGGAGTAAACATGTTACCCTTGACCATACCACCTTGGAAAAACTGAAAATTTACAGGTCCCTAGAAGTATCTCTGAAAACAGCTGCACAAAACCCCTGAAACTTGGGACAGTACATTCTCCATACTGGAAGCAGACCCCTACCTTAACAAATAGTTTATAACTCAGGTAATTGACTGGGATCATGAGCAAACTGCACAAAAAAAAATCAGACCATAGAGTCTTTCTTTGGTAGCAAAAAAGATCAAAACATACAACCAGAAGAAGAGAACAAAGTCAAAGCTCCTACATCCAAAGCCTCCAAGAAAAATAAGAATTGGTCCCAGGCCATGGAAGAGTTCAAAAAGGATTTTGAAAAGCAAGTAAGAGTAGAGGAAAAGCTGGGAAGTGAAATGAGAGTGATGCAAGAAAATCATGAAAAACACGTCAATAGCTTGCTAAAGAAGACCCAAAAAAACTACCGAAGAAAATAACACCTTAAAAATGAGGCTGGGGGCAGCTAGGTGGCGCAGTGGGTAGAGCACCGGCCCTGAAGTCAGGAGGACCTGAGTTCAAATCTAGCCCCAGACCAAATACTTGACACTTCCTAGCTGTGTGACCCTGGGCAAGTCATTTAACCCCAGTTGCCCCCCAAAAAAATAATTTTGACTAACCCAAATGGTAAAAAAGGTCCGAAAAGCCAATGATAGAGGGCACAGGGTGAGTTGAAGATGAAGGTGTGATAACTGGAGAATAAAATGAAGGAGTGAGAGAAGATTATACAGGGAGAGAAGGAGAGAGAGAGAGAGAGATGTAAAATGGGGTAAATTATCTCACTTACAACAGACAAGAAAAGGCTTTTACAGTGGAGGGGAAGTAGGGGAAGATGAGAGGGAATGAGTGAATCTTATTCTCATTGGATTTGGCTTAAGGAGGAAATAACATACACACTCAGTTGGGTATGGAAATCTATCTTGCCCTAGAGGAAAGTGGGGGGAAGGGGACAAGAGAGCAGGGAGATGACAGAGGGGGTAATCAGAAGCAAACACTTCTAAGGAGGGACAGGGTCAAAAGAGAGAATAGAATAAATGGGGGATGGGAAAGGATGAAGGGAAATATAGTTAGTTTTTCACAGCATGACTATTATGGAAGTATTTTGCATGACTACACATGTATAACCTATATTGAGTTGCTTGCCTTCTCAATGAGAGTGGGTGGGGAGGGAGGAAGGGAGAAAATTTGGAACCCAAAGTTTTAAAAACAAATGTTAAAAATTGTTTTCACATACAACTGGGAAATAAGATACACAGACAATAAGGTATAGAAATCTCTTCTGCCCTAAAGGAAAATTGAAAGGGAAGGGGATAAGAAAAGGGAGGGAGATAGAAGAGAGGGCAGATTAGGCAAAGGGGTATTCAGAATGCATGCTGTCTTAGGGTGGAAGGAGGACGAGATGGGGAGAAAAGTTGGAACTCAAAATCTTGTGGGAGTGAATGTTGAAAACTAAAAATAAATTAATTAAAAAGAACATGGAGTAATAGTGAGTTAATGTAGGAAGAAACACAATAACTTAAGATAGTTTCATTTTAAATGTAACTATCTTATGGTGTCTTCAGTTAAATGAGTATTGTAACTGTTGTAACACTGGAAAAAAATGCTAAGTCAGAATATGAAATTTTTGAAAATTCTTAGTTTAATTATGTTTTTTTCTAATCATAAGGGTATTCCAAAGACTTCTATGACCTGAGAAATTCTTGTTTCTATTATTTATTTTTTCTCCAGATAAAATTTTCTGGGAGCTTTAGGTTATTAAGTTCATTCTGTTAAATACAGGACATCTTCTGAGTTATTATAATACTTGACCAGACTTCAATGTAGAACTATTATGTGTCCCAGAATAATGAAAAACAATTTAAGACACTGAAATCTGGGACATCTCAGTTTGCACAGTAGCTAGAAAATTCTTAAAATTATTCTTATTAGCTGCAACATGGACAGCACCAGCAACACGAAACTTTGCAAGAGTTTTTTTTTTTTTAGGTAATGGGGGTCAAGTGACTTGCCCAGGGTCATACAGCTAGTAAGTGTCAAATGTTTGGTCTGAGGCTGAATTTGAACTCAGGTCCTCCTGACTTCAGGGCTGGTGCTCTATCCACTGTGCCACCTAGCTTCCCCAAGAGTTTCATTTTCTAGCTAGTTTAAATTCCTTTCTTGTTTTGTCACAATACTCCTGTGTATTACTTACTGTCTTTTCAATATTGTTTTCTCCTTGCTCCTCTACTAAAAATGATATCTGAATAAAAAGGTATTTTAAATCTTTTATCTGGCTCTCCAAATGAATAAGTTTTTTGTGTCTATTCAATTTCAGATAGTTGTACTTTAGTGATGTTGATGCCTGTGAGCAGACTTAACATTAAAAATTTCCTATTTCCTGTTTTTCTTGTTGAAGCATATCATTCACTTCTTCAGACACATCTTTTCAGCAACTTCAGGCTGACAAATAATGAATGCTTTGCATTTTTCCTGCTTTGTTGCTATTGTGTCATTATACATAAACATGGTATCCTGGAATTGTTGGAACATGGCAGTATATTGAGATTTAAGAATTCTTGTGACAGCTAATAAAGGACCACTTTCAACTTCTCACTTTTTAATTCTTTTAACAAATCATCTAAGCCTCTGTTAATATGCTCTGCTTGGGTTTTTATTTCTTTTGTAAGACTAGATTCCTTCTTAAGACTGAACCTTTTCACGGAAGCTTCCAGTCTCTTTTGCTGCTGACCAGATCTTTGAACATCTGCCAAATTATTAAAAATCTCCTGAAGTCTTTGGATGTCATGTAGATATCTCTCAGGTATAGGTTCTCTTTCATAAATGATAGCTGTTTGTGAAAACTCATGTTCTGCTGTCTCTGTAGTAGGTTTATGATATCTCTAGAGAGCTCAAATTCTTTTGCTTATTGTTTGAGTTCTTGAAATCTGTCTTTCATATTTCTTTTTCTTCTCAGAAGCACAAATGATTTCCTTTTATCAGGTGCTACTACAATCATCCATGGAGATCATAGAAAGAAGTTTGATTTATTTTGTTTTTTGTTGTTGTTTGAATTTTCCTGTAGCAATTATTAATGAGAAAGTTGACTTATTCCCAAGTGAAAGCTCTCTGCTAGTTTTCTGAAAAGAAATGAAGTGTCAGGAGAACCAGCAATAATTTTCTTTTTGAAGATGTGGACAAGGGAACTTAGATTAATTAAGAAGCTACTATATACAGTGTCATCTTTTACTCATGAAAATAATAGATTAAATAGTAAAAATGTGGTCCTTTTTAGGAGATGAAGGAGATCTAAGAAATAAATAATATAATTGTAACTGCTTTAATAATTATTACTCTTCAGTTAATATATTATCAGATGGATACATTTTCTTGCAGAATGATATGTAGGAAAACTTAAACTTCCAAGGTTAGTCTTCAGATTCTAAATTTGCTTTATAATAAGGCTATGGTTTCAAATTAACTTGGTTGATGTAAAAATCATGAATTTTTTTTTTGTACGAAAAAATTACCTCAGTAGTCTAGAACATTGGAGTGATAATAACATTATGAAATTTAATTGGAATAAATGTTAAGTTCTAATGCATATGTTCAAAAAATACACTGCTGAGTTAAAGAATAAAGTTGGGGTGGTAGGATCTGGCTTAACAAATTTTATTGTGTTTGAAAGACTTTTGAGGATTTAGTTGAGTACACATTTACCAGTGTGATACTTCCATTCCCCCCAAACAACAGTAGCACTTTTTCTTAGGTTGCTTTAATGAGAAGTGCAGGGACTATAAGAGAAGAAATAGTCTCACTTTATCTCTACACCAAATCTCTAGTGTTGTATTCACTTTCAAGTTCCACATTCTAAAAGACTTAGACAAAGTGAAGAGTATCTATAGGGCAAAAAGCAGAATGATGGAGGATCCAAAAAAATGTCATGTGAGAGAATTAGTGATGTTTTAGGTTGGAGTGAGGGTAGGACTGCTGACTAAAAATAGCTTTTTGAAGGAAATATAAAAGAGAGATTAAATTTATTATAAATAACTCCAGAAGGTAAAATAAGGACCAATGGGTTAGAAGCTACAGAAAGGCTGGTTCATGAAAGCAAAGTACATTTATTAAAACTAGAATTATTCAGAAATATAATTGGCTGCTTTATGTGTCAGAGAGCCCCTTCACTAGAAGTAATGAAAGTGAGGTAGTAAGAGAACACTTTGGTCACAGTACAAGTCACCAGTTCTGGACATCTCAGGCCATTTGAAAAGTTTATAGATGTGATTACTATCAGTGTTTTGTAAGAAATAATGAGGAATAGAGAGGTTCTGCTGAAATGGAGGTTGGCAGATATCCCAGTTTTCAGTAACAAAGTCTTCAAGCTATAAGCCAATGAACTTGCTTTCAACTGCTGGAAAAAAAATTCTGTAACTTATTATTAAAAGAATGATTTGTGAAAACTTAGGGAAATTTTGACTATTCAGGGCCAGCATGGGTTCAGGAATAAACAAGTCACGCTAGAGTAACCTTATTTTGTTTTTGACAAGGTTACTAGATATGCTGTGCCTGGATTCCAGAAAGGTGACAGTCTGTCATGATATTCTTCCCATGGGGAAAAAAAATACATCAAGTAATAGTATGGTCATCTATGGGATTTAGAGCTGGAATGGACTTTAGACCTCCTGTGGTCCAAACCATCATTTTTAAAGATGAGAAAACTGAAGTCCAAGTTTACTTAGAGTAATAAAGATAGTAAGTAGGAATAAGGATTTGAACCTAGATCCTCCATTTTCCAGATCTAATGAATGATGTGTCTACCTTCATGAGGTGAATTCAGAATGATTGAATAAGAATGACCAAATTCAAAGCATTGTCAATAATGAAACACTTGTTCTAGAGGAAGGTTTCTATGGGAGTATCCCAAATATCTGTTGTTGGTTCAAGTCTGTTCTGCATTTTTCATTAATGATTTGGATGAAGGCATATGTGGGAAACTCATCAAATCTGCATATGACATGAACCTGGGAGGGAAAGTGAGACACATTGTATAGCAGAATTAAGATCCAAAAAGAGCAGAACAATGTACCAAATATAGTCGGGTAGATTATTTTTAGACCAGACCTGTGATTTCAGCAGTATAGGGAGCTCCTGGTGGAGAACTTCATCTTTCAGCGCATCGTCACCTTCTCTACAACTTATAGTCTTAGAGAATGTTTGAGGCACTGATTGACTTGCCCAGGGCCACACGGCCAGTATGTAAGAGGCAGGACTTGAGCCCAGGTCTTCCTGATCCCAAAACCATGACTCCCTGATTGCAAGACTGTACCACACTGTTTCTAAAATTTAGTAGGGAGACATATATTAATTTGTGCATGTGAGTTCAAAGATTCAACTGCACAAGTACTGGAGAGGAAGAATATTTGTATGAAATGATTCATATGAAAAAGATGTTGCTGTTTTACTGTATTGTAAAGTAAATCTGAGTAGCCGGATGACAACCAGATAATTAAATGTGAAATCAAGCAGAATTATTCAGAATCCATAATAACAGAGCTAGTCTTGTATTTTATTTTGCTCAAACCTGGAGTATTGTATTTGTTCTTGGGGCCACATTTTAGGAAATAACACTGATAAACTTGAGGTTAAACTTGAGTGATAACCAGAGAAAAATAACAGGATGGTTAAAGGTTTGATAGCCTAGTATCCTCTATAGCTTGATTAAAGAAATTTAAAAAAGTTTGGTCTGCAGAAGAAAAGACTTGGAAACAAGAAAACAGTGTATTAAAGATGTTTCGGATATTAGAGAGGCTGACATGTGGAAGACTTACTTTGCTTGGCCCCAGCTGGCATAACTAAAATAACAGGTAGAAAGTGCAGAGAGAGATTTAAGTCAGATATAAGGAATATCTTCCTAAAATACAGAGCAGAGGTGTCTTATATGGTTACTGCATTGATGTCAACACTCCAGGTCCCCCAACTCTGTTCCCCCAAACCAGATTAAAGTGTATTTAGGCAATACTAAACAAGATAAATCAAAATATGGTACAGCGCAGATAAATGTTTTTAAGTGTGATTTTTCTAACCCAATATTCATCACATGGATTCTTGTATGCCTTATATATCATCTGGTTGCTAAGTAAGTTTGACAGAACTAATTTAGAGCATGACAAAAGAACAGACTGCTTCTGTAGGTGGTGAGTTTCTTCTGACTCTTATAGGTCTTCAGGCAGAGGCAGGATTCTACTTAGGGGTGGTGTTATGGAAAATTTTCCTACTCAACAATGACTTGGACAAAATGACTTCTAAGGGCACTTTAAAATTCTTTCATACTCTAATCATTATTAATAGTGCTCTAATATTTGTAGAATGTATACATACACAGTCATAACCCTAAAAAAGATTTACCTGACAAATCTTGCATCATTTCATTACCTTGCATTCTTCATTTGACTGAAAATTTCCATTATGAGAGTTTTGATTTTCTCAAAAGACTTTAATTCTGCTGAAGATTGCTGTTCTAAAATAACTGATTTATATTGGTTCAGTGTCACCTGCGCTTCAGCGGGAGAGCACGACTTTAAAATCGAGGAGATAGCAGAAATGAGCAGAAAGCAGAAATGGACAGTGACCATAGATTCTTACATTGGGAACAGGGAAGATCAAGACACAAATTCAAAAGAGAACAACATTGTCAATATGCCCACATCTGAAACCTCAAAGGGGTATATAAACTGGTCTCAAACCCAAAAAGCATTCTTGGAAGAGTGCAAGAAGGATTTTAAAAGTCTAATAAGAGAAGTAGAAGAAAAATTGGGAAAAGAAATGAGAGGTATGCAAGAGAGAGTCAATAACTTGGAAAAAGAAGGACAACAATTGACTGTAGAAAACAAGTCCTTAAAAAATACAGTTGGCCAAATGGGGGGAAAAAAGTACACTGAAGAAATCAGCTCCTTAAAAAGTAGAACTGACCAAATGGAAAAAGAGGCACAAAAACTCACTGAAGAGAAGAATGCCTTAAAAAGTAAAATGGGCTAAATGGAAAAGGAAGTACAAAATCTAATAAAAGGAAACAATTTGTTAAAAATTAGAATTGGGCAAGTGGAAGCTAATGACTCTGAGATACCAAGAATCAAACAGAAACAAAAGAATGAAAAAAATAGAAGAAAACATAAAATACCTCATTGGTAAAACAGCTGACCTGGAAAATAGATTCAGGAGAGACAATTTAAAAATTATTGATCTACCTGAAAACTATGATGAAAAAAAGAGCTTGTGTTGGTGGAGTTGTGAGCTGATCCAACCATTCTGGAGAGCAATCTGGAACTATGCCCAAAGGGCTATAAAATTGTTCAGACCCTTTGACACAGCAATACCACTTCCAGGTCTGTATCCCAAAGAGATCATAAAAACGGGAAAAGGACCCACATGTACAAAAATATTTATAGCAGCTCTTTTTGTGTTGGCCAAGAATTGGGAATTGAGGGGATGCCCATCAATTGGTGAATGGCTGAACAAAGTGTGGTATACGAATGTAATGGAATACTATTGTGTTATAAGAAATGATGAGCAGGTGGACTTCAGAAAAACTTGGAAAGACTTGTATGAACTGATGCTGAGTGAAATGAGTAGAACCAGGAGAACATAGTACACAATAACAGCCACATTGTATGATGACTGACTTTGATAGACTTAACTCTTCACAGCAGTGCAATGATCTAAGACAACTCCAAAAGACTCACGATGGAAAATGCTATCCACATCCAGAGAAAGAACTATAGAATCTGAATGCAAATTCAGCATACTATTTGCTTTCCCTTTCTTTTGTTGTTTTATTTCTTCTTTCTGGTGGTTCCTCCTGTTAGTTCTGATTCTTCTGTACATGATGATTAACATGAAAATATGCTTAATATGAATGTATAAGTGTAACCTATATCAAAATGCATGCCATCTTGGGGAGGG